GATATAAAAGCTCCAAATTGTTTTAATAAATTTCTTTCCCATAAATTAGCACTAATGTATAGCACATAAAATTGCATTTGAGCCTTTTGGTTATCAGGTTCTGCACAATCATAAATATTCTTAGACCTTTAAACATTGAGAGAGGTTCCTAATTCAGAAAGAGTTAATGTTAATTTTTTGCAAAGGCCAATTAAGAGACTAATTATTTTTTACTAATAACAGACACATTAGCTTTTATATCCACAAGACCTGTAAAAGAAATTTGATTAACAGAAAAAGAGAGGACTTTTGATCATTAATGACGGTTTTTCCAAAACAAGTATTTCTCAGTACTTCCAAGTCCTCTTACTTTTGCTCTATTAATAGGAAACGTATGATAAGGGAGAAGCAAAAGTTGAGCAATTATTTAACCGGTTTGTAGGAAAAGGAACAATATTTTTTTTACTTCTAATGAAAAATTTAAGATACTAAAGAGCTGAACAGAAGATTGCAAAAGGCAGCTCGGAATGACAAAGCAAAATATTACGATGAAATGTGTAAGGAGCTAGAGTCAGAAAATCAAAAGGGCCGAACTCGTTCAGCATTTCTTAAGCGCAAGGAACTGAAGAACAAATTTAAACCTAGAGTTGCTATAATCAAGGATGCTTTAGGCAGAATATTTAATGATCCAGGAAGTACTGAAAGAAGATGGAAGAAATATACTGAGTCATTGTATCAAAAAGAATTGGCAGATACAGAAGAGTTTAATGAAATAACTTATGAGCACGAGCCTATGGTGATGAAGGAAGAAGTTCAAGAACAGCTAAGATTTTGTTAATGAAATTCTAGTAAGAAAAAGCAGTCAGGGCCAAAACAACGGTAATAGTCATTTAAACAATCCCCTACCCTATGCCAATGCTTAGAATCAATAGTTAATTCTTGCGGAAACCATGGGCAAACAACTTCTAAAAACAATAAAAATTTCTTTAAATCTTTTTTAGTTACCCTTATACCTAGTGCCTTGAGGGAATCCTTGATACCCTTTACGAACAATTCATGTTCACTTAATCCCTGTCCCATAATTTCACTGCCCTTATCTCCTCTCATGCCTGTCTCACAGGGTGGGTAATCCCATGGCGGCAGCTCTGTGCCTGTCTCACAGGACGAATAGTCCTGTGGCTGGCAACAGTGCAAGTCTTCACTCTTGGTCCCAGATTCATGGCGATTCAATGGATGGACCGGCCGGTCACTTCTAGTGGGCAGCGTTCATCGTCCTTCCCCGTTCCTGGGCCCCACGTTGGGCGCCAATTATGCCCCGACCCGCGGGGATCTTCAACGGTGACCCTTGAAGGGGAAGAACGAGAATGGCGGGACAGGAGGCACAGAAGCGCGGAGACAAGTTGAAATGCCAACCAAGTCTCAATTTTATTGAAAGCGCTCACAGCTTATACACAGGAGCACAATGGGGGGGGGGGGAGAAGTACACAAGAGGGGAGAATAGCATCATGTCATTTCTAGTAATCTGAAAGTTATCTGGTTAACAGAAACTTAGCAGGGCATTTCCTGAAACCTATCCTCCCAGGGTGGGGTAAACTGAAACCTATCCTCCCAGGGCAACATGTCCAAACATGTTCTTGGAGAACTACAAAATGGTTTCAGAGAATTACAAAATGGCTTCAGCTAAGTTGAACTAGCAGCCCCCAACAAACACACATGGTTTTAGAAACACAAACTCAAGGGTAGAAATAAAAATATCTATAAGGCAAACTATCTTCAATGCCCTAGAAAAATAGATTACCTAAGGAAAGCCTGCTCATCAAAGGGGGGAGGGTCTTTTTTTGTGTTTGGTTTTTTAAATTTTCATTCATTCATTGTTGCATTTTTCTCCCTCCCTACCCCTTCCCTCTCCCTGCCCCCAGTTCGTTCTTCTCATTGAAAAGTAAAAGAAAAATTCTTTCATTGATATACAATCCCCTCCTCCTCCCCTCTCCCCCCCAGTAGACTCCACTATGCAGCCTTCACTCTGGACTCTTGTCATGACCATAATACCTAATCATATATCACTTTTAAACAGTTCTCTCTCTCATCCCTCATCTGTTTCAATGGGGGGGGTCATTTTAAAGAAAATTAAGTATTCTTTAGGGAGCTCTTGTGGTCCAGTGAGTGACAACTTCTAACCCCAAAGAACCTGACTGAAATCCACGGAACTGCTTCTTGGACAAGATGAGCAATTTCCTCCACTGGGTATTATAGTATCTGGAAAACCACTGGAGGGTCAGCTATGAATCAGTTCCAACTCCAGCCTACAAAGCAACAGCCACCATTCTTTAAGAGGCATCATTTCCTAGTTTAAAAGAAAAGGATTCGAGGTGTCACAAATGGTTCATGCCAATTTCTAATTAAAGGCTGGCAATGAGAACCCAGACAGAGGCCTTGAAGAAGAAATGGCTGGAGTAAAGATTGCAGTCAAGAAAATCCTATTGAATCCTACTATATAATGCACAGCTATTGGTGAACCAGAATCTAGTCAATGAAAACAGATTTAATTATTTATAATTAAGATTTTAAGATATAATTTTTGTTAGGTTAGTGGACTTAAAGAAGAAACCAGAGAGAATGGGAGAAAGCTTAAAGAGCTTTATTGAAGGGTGAAGGGGAGCTCCCAGGTGAGTTCCTCATCCTGGAGAGGCAGAATGGGAAGTCACACCATGACCTTACTAGAGAGGAATTTTATAAACAGAGTCTTTAGGGAGGGACATTCCACTCTGATTTAGGAGCCTAGCTCAGCCAGACATGCAAGGTCATTTGCTCTTCTTATCAGCAGCAGGCAAGGCCATCAGCATTTGAGTTCTGGATTCTTCATTCTTCTTTTTGGCCCCTTTTGCCCAGACTAACAAATTTGCCTTAACATAGGATAGGATGAATAAGTTAAATGTCTGTCCACAGTCTCAGTCAGACTTAAGTTTTGGGGATTTGACCTGACACAGTGAAACAAAAGCAAAACCCTCCCCCCAAAAAAACAAAACAAAACAAAACAAAAAACCCCCAAAACAACAAACCCCATGCTCCAAAGAGCCTGTCTCCAAAATAAATTTGCCCAAGGGACGCAGCTCATTTCTGACCTTCTCAATGCTTCCTTCTAAACTCCCTGAAGTACCTGGGCCAGAAGGGAGAGAATAAATTTTTTTCCCTCCAGGGAGGGTGGAAGAGAACGCTGGTGGCCTAGTAAGAAACTGTGCTGCAATCCCAAAGGCACGTGGTTCAAATCCACCAGCTGCTCCACAGGGAAAAAGAGGCGCAACCTCCTGCCTTCAGATTAACTAGCTACCTCGGAAAACCAGCAGCCAGAGGGTCAAGCGCCTCAGGAAAGTCAGTCAAGGGTTGGTTCTGACTCAAACGCACATAACATAACTGTTAGGTCTTCGCACTGGATATGAGGCCAAGGACTCAAGGAAGGGACCAGAGAAAGAAAGGAAGCTAAAGAAGCTTTATTAAGGGGTCTCCCAAGCAGGATTCCTTGGTCTGCAGAGAAAGAAACAGGTAGAGGGAGAAAACCAGGGAAATACTGCACCCTAAAGTGGATTAGGGCAGGTTTTATAGTAAGGGTCTTTGTGGTTGTTGTTGTTGTTGTTGTTAAGTGCCATCGAGTCACAGGTGACTCATAGAGACCCTATGAAGGAGAGTGTTCAACACTTGGGTGCCTTTCATCCTCTCTCCAGGTTCATGGGGTTTCCAGAGAGAAATTGCTTTGTGGTTTAGCCAGATGGGTGGTCTTCTAGGAATGGAAGGGAGGGGCACTCCATGGTAGTTGAGGCTGTTCACTCCCTTTGTTGACACATTGATATTCCTGGTGATCTTAAAGGGCAGTTCTATTCAGTTCAGTAGGGTCTAAGAATTGCTTTGCTGCAAAGGAGATTTGGGTTTGGGGAGGATGAAAACAAGTTATCTTTTCTGAGAGTTTACGCTGCACCAAGCCTGGCAAGGTTTAGGTCATGTGCAAGGAATTGACATATAAGGGTCACTCTCCCAAATATGAGTCAGAATTGATTCGAGAGCACCTAACCACAGCTACAAAGTCCTACACAAAATATCTGGCACACAACAACTCAATTAATCATCCTTCAAGCCACACAAATAGTAACCAGAGGAGAAAGCGAGACTAGCTCAAAGTGTCTTGACCAGTGTCATATACTGAAAAGTGAAGTGCTGGAAATCAAAATCCTATGGTAGCCTTTATGAGGTCAATAAAATCAATTCTGCTTAAACGGATCAGAGAACTGCTCTAAGACTGCAGGTAAGGCCTGTCTAGGGAAGCAGATGACTGGTAATCGCCTTTTGAGATAAGGAACTTCTTTCCTGGAAGGGGTGCGTGAGAGTCAAAGGTAAGCTTCCCGTGTGCTGGGTGTGGGGGTGTGTGTGTGGGAGTGTGTGTTGTAGCTGATCCAAATTGAGAACTTGTGTGTGTGTGTGTGTGTGTGTGTGTGTGTTAGCTTATCCAAGTTGGGAACTTGTGTGTGTGTGTGTGTGTGTGTGTGTTATAGCTTATCCAAGCGGAGAACTAGAGCACACACGCACCAGTGAGAGACGAACCGAGAGCAAAAGCCGGCACACAGCCACGTGGCCCAACCTCAGGGCAACCCTGGCTCAGCAGGGGGTGGGGCCGGAGGCGGGGCTGTAGGCGCGGGGCCGGTGGAGTGCGCCTGCGCACTGCGTGGGCGGGGTCGAGGTGGGTCGGGAGTTGGAGAGCAAAGCGCGTTAAAGGCCTCTCCCGGCCGCGCCACCTGGGCCAGTCCTTGAGTGCGCAGGCGCAGAGGTCTAAACTCCCTGTCAGCAGGCACCGCGTGCGGGCTCCGCGTCAGGTATCGTCAGCGGCTCACCACCCGGCACCATGAACGGCTTCAGCTGCGAGGAACGCGCCGCGCCTTTCACGCTCGAGTACCGAGTCTTCCTCAGTGAGTGTCGGTGGTCCTCACCCTGCCTCCGTCCTTCCCTCCCCCATTCATTCCCGGCCTCGCCTCCACTCTCCCCCTCCGTCGTCCCGGTCGTCCCGGCTCCCTGACCCTCACAGTCCACGTTTCTCGCCCGCCGGCCGGCCGCCTCCACCTCCTCCTGCTCGGGAGAACTGGTCTGCGTTTATAGGCCGACCAGCTGGACCCGAGCTGGCGCCGGGCTCCTTATGCAGGTGCCGGGCTCGGGCATTGTCTGATGGGAAGAAACCACCAAGTCACTCTAGAAGGGAGGTAAAAGAATCTCTGTAAGAGGATTGCACCGCCTGGGAGCAGGGTGGGGCGCCGATCTCCTGCTAAAGACATTAAATACCTCGCGAGGGTTTAGTCGGCGAGGAGCGGGATGCTATCCTCCTCTCCAGGTTCTGGGGATGGGAAGCTGACGCCCAGGTGCATCTTCGGGGGTCCCGGGCCGTGCGTCCACCTCCTTCGGGTTTTCACGTGGCACCGATGCTGGGAATTCGCCTTTAGAAACAGAAAGCTGTTCCCCTCTAGTTAAACAAGTGACGTCAGTCAGGGAAGCATGAGTAAGAAAAGTGCCAAGTTTTCACACCCCTGCAAGGAGCTGGCGTTTACTGGTCTCGACCCCGCAGTGGACACCCAGGACCCGCAGGCGGAGGCTGTTTGCTTGCTTGCCTTTTCTGGGTGCAAAACCTCTGGCCTTATAGGTGGGAGGACTTTTCTTTATCCCAAGCCACAGGGAATAGATTGTTAGTGATAAGGCTGAAATTAAAATAAAAATCACTAGCGATATTCCAGTTTAATACCACCACCACCTACCCTCGGGTTTATTGTAGAAGGAAATAGGCAGGTGCAGTGAACACTTTGAGCCTGGGAGCGTGAAGGCCTGGGAAGAGAGGAATGAACAGTCGAAGAATGAACAAATAGAGCTCCGGGCAAGGGAAAAGACTGGTGTGGGAGGAAAAGGAAAGTAAAGCCTCAAGCATGCACTTCTGGCTGAAGATTGTAGTGCGGTGGAAGGCAGGAACTCCCCATTTGATGTCATTTCAGAATTGAGCAGTAGGGCCAGTGTGGGCATTTAAGACTAAGAATTCACTGGACCATTTTTCGAAAGTTTTGATTCCAGAATTTCTCTGAAGAAGTACTCAGGGAGGTGGCTCTATGGGTGTGCACTTGACAGAATCTTTAAGGTCATTGTTTTTAAACTGTATTTGCAGAGCAGGAGGTTTAGTGTTTGTTTTGAGTTTGTGGGGGTTTTTTTAACAGAGTAATTTTTTTTTAACAATGAGATTGTATTTCCATAAGAAATATTTACTGGCCATTAGGGAGACCAGAGCCACTCATTGACTTTGATACTAGCTACCATATCAAATGGAGCTCTCTGGAACCTAAGAAATAGTACTAAGAATCAGTTATATAATTGTATATGTTTCTCTCCACCCTACAAGTTTCTTAGCTTTTTTCCTAATAGAAGTTGTTGTTGTTTTATGTGCCATCAAGTCGTCTGTGACTCAAAGCAATCTGACCTTACATACAACAGCTCTGAAGCTTCCCCTGTCCTAAGCCAGTCTCACTCCAACACATCTGCCCCCATTGCCCTAGTTATTGTAAGATTATTTATATATTTTCATCATCTGTAATGCTTGCCCAGCCTCTTTAAATCAGGTAATGGGACATACTACAAAGTGAAAATTGACTCTGAAGGAAATTTGCCAGACTGGACCTGCATTTGTTCAACTTTTCTTCCACTGTGCTTTTGAAATCAGAAGGAGTGTAGTGTAGACTTGACCCTTGGTTTCCTAAAGAACAGTGAAGAAGTTTTAAACTTCCTTTTTTGAATGTGGTCGTTAGGTTTCTAGGATATAGAAATGATCTGTGAAGGTGACTCTTCCTAACACATCACCAAGAGCAACACAGTTTATAGTTTAGCACATCTGTCTCTCTTCACCCTCAGTATTTCACAATAGTTCTGTAAACTGTTAACTGAAAGAAGATTAGACCAAAACAATTTGTTCATCTTCCATGTGCCAGGTACTGCTAGGCTGTGGGGATACAAAGGAATGTAAATCAGTCTCTATTCTCATGACTGGGGTGAGTACTTAGCTGTGCGGTGCCTAAGGAACACATTGGATGAAAGAAAACCCAACCCAAGTCTTGAAGGAGGGTCAGGAAACCCATTTTCCTAGTGTGGACATAAAATTTTGGTATAACTGTATTGCATGCATCTAGAGACATGGCTGTAACTATATAATTAGCCACTGTGATAACTTTTGCTCATTCATTTTACAGAAAATGAAAAAGGACAATATATCTCTCCATTTCATGATATTCCAATTTATGCAGATAAGGTAAGGCTTCACTGTCTTTTGAACAGTCTCTTTAGATGTAATTTCACTTAACAGATTTTTTTTTTTTAAAAAAAAAAAAACATTTTTACCCCTGAAACCTACAGCATCCCTTTTCAGCAGGAAGTAGCTAAGAGAATACGCCATCCCATTTTCCTTATGGATCAGGGTGAAGTCTCTCTCAGGGAGGGGGTGATAGGGAATGGCAAAGGACTCACTGACAAAGGAGATTAATCAAAACCGGCTTTGACAAGCACTGTGGCAATTGGCCAATTAAAACAGACTTTCAAGGGGGGGAAAAAAAGAACGAACTGGGGAGGAGGGTAGAGAAAATAGTGCAACAATAAATGAATGAAAACCCAAAATCTCTGTAAATGTTCATTAAAACTAATAAAATTTAATAATTTTTTAAAAAAAAGTTTACAAGCACTTTAAATGCTTCATGGTGCAGCGAATTCAAGTTGTAGTGATTAAGAAGTCAGCCGTAAAACCAGAATTGTCTGTTAAGAAAAACAACTGGAAGTAGGGAAAAGAGTAGAGGAATAGACATAGCATATTTGGCCTGATTAGAGAGGGAAAGGCACGTTGGACTTTTTTAGTATGTGCTTTGGGGATAAAAACCTTCATTCTAACTCTCATTGCCATCAACTCAGAACTGACTTTTGCTGATCCTCCAACAACTTTTCAGAGACGGTAAATTGCATGGGAGGAGATTACCACCTTTCTCCCTCAAGGCACGTGGTGTATTCAAACTGTATTTTTGGATTGGGAGCGCAATTGCTTACCACTAAGCCACCAGAGCTCCCTATTAAAATCTCAGACTTCATTAAAACCCAGAAATCAAACCCGTTGCCATGGAGTTGAATCTTGACTGGTAGTGGCCCTGTGTAGGGCAAAATAGAACTGGCCCATCAGGTTTCCAAGCCTATAAATCTTTATAGATGCAGTTTCCACACCTGCTTGTTTTTATGGAAGCAGATTGTTACATCATTCATTTGAATTGCCCACATTTCAATCAATAGCCATAATTATTCAGTAAATAAAGGAATATTCTTTGCCTTTAATGGCCTGATAAAGTTCTGCACATTGATTGCCAGACCTTTCTTTCAAGGCACATGATCATCTAGAGATACTAAAGGTAAATCCACAAATGCATAAAAAATTAATACCTGTTCCTATACATGTAAGCAGTAAGCTCTGGTGGCAAGAAGCTCCACTACAGTCCCAAAGGCATGTAGTTCAAATCCACCAGCTACTCCACTGGAGAAAGTTGGGCAGTCTCCTCCAGTGCGATTAACTGCCTCTGAAAACCTGCCAGAGGGTCAGCTTTGGGTTGGTTCTGACTCTATGGTAAATAACAACATACACATAAGTGGGAAGTCTGATTACTTAGTGGTAAGGAGCTGCACTTCCAGGCCAAATGTGGTTCAAATGAGTCAGTTCTGACTCGATAGCACATGGTAGCAACAACAAAACGGCTGAAGAAACTAACATTTTGTTAGGTGATATCAAGTCGACTACGTCTCATAGTGACACTATGAACAACACATGGTGTCCTGCACAGTCCTCACAATCTCTGTCATGCTCAGGTGCGTTGTGATAGTTCCTGTCCCAATCCACTAACCTTCAACCTTTCCCAGCATGATATCTTTCTGCAAGGACTGATTCCTTCTAAAAATATGCCCAGAAGTAACTGAGACGAAGTTTCACCCTCCTTGCCTCTAAGAAGCCCCTGGTTGCAATACTTACCACTGAGCAGTTAATCACAAAGAGTCTTAATGTTAAAACACTGCCCTGATTAAAAGGTCAGCAGTTCTAACTCTCCAGCTTCTCTGTTGGAGAGCGATGATGTGGCACTCTGCTTTCATAAAGATTTACCGCCTGGGAAATTCTGGGAGGCATTTGTTTCTATCTTGTGGGGTCTCTCAGTCAGAATTAACCTGATGGCAGTACGTTTGACTGGCTTGGAAAATGGTCACATACTGGTCTGAATCTTTCATAAGTGTTGTCTACCATCAAGTCGGACGAGGCAGTTAATCACATTGAAGGAGATTGCCCATCCTTCTCCCAAGAAGCAGCTGGTGGACTTGAACTGTATGCTTTCGGGATTTCAGCACAGCTTCTTGCCACTAGGCCACCAGAGCTCCATGTATATACCATAATATTTATAATCCTTGATTGATAGATTACTAATAACTTGCTGCTTTTCTTTTTGTACTTTTTTTATATTATCTAATCTTTTTTTGTAGAACACATGCACATTTTTAAGTAGTTATTTTTTAAAAGCCCCTAGATTTCTTTTTAGCCTCATTCCACATGGGAGTTGTTTGTGTTTTGGAACTGATAGAAGGACTAGTAGTCTAATAGTCACAAAGCTTGAGCGACAAAGTGATAACTTTTTCCAGTTGTAAAAGCTATGCATGCCCTTGACCTTCCTTTGTTCTTGTTAGATGTGGTCAGTAGTGAGAATAGATCTGGATGTCAGTGCCTTCTGCCCTTAAGGCAGCAGGGTGAAGGTCACATTCCAGTTCTCCGCTAGGGTAGTGTTAAAGGTGAAATGTCAGCCTTGTGTGTGCTGAGTCTTATTGAGCTCTGGGACTTAATTATAGGTAAACCTTTTGCGGGGGCAAGGAATATCCCATCTGACATTTTGAAGTTTGTCTGAAACAGTTACAGAATCTGCTGACCAGTCATTTTGTGTGTTAACAATGTACATCTGGCAGTAACGAATGCCAGAGAGAGCAGCCCTGGCTGTGATGGCCAAGTGTCTGTGTCAGTCTGGCTGGCCCTGGTTCTCCAGGGCTTGGCAGTTACAGAATGATGAAAAATGACAATTAAAATGTAATCATCCTCCATTTTCACATAATGTTGGTTTTTACATAATGACACAGTTTTTGAACCCTGAGGATATTGAAAATTGAGTGAGTGTGGACAATCCATTGTACTTCTACCAGGAAATTTATTGCTGCTTGGGCACCAGCAGAAAATCTCTCCTGTGTGTTGCCTCACAGGAGTCTGCCTGAGCTGGGCTCCAGCTGGAGGCCAATTATGTGCAGCAATTACAGTAGGGACCTCTAATTGGCTGTGTTCTCTTGTGGGATTCTCAAAGTTGCATTTCTTAGGAAACTTTTACTTTGTTACATCTGATTTCCTGGGAGTTGATATGAACTGCAGGATCCTCCCTCCCTCTGAATTGCCATCATTTAGTTGGTTTGAATTGTCTGGTGTATAATAGTTATTATTGTTGTTTATAACAATAGTATTTTTAAAATATTATCTATTAATAATAATAATAGTATAGCATGTATTATCAGAGTTCTTTACAGTAATGTCTCAGACCACGTTGAGCAACAAAGAAATCTAAAATGATGATCCTAAGCTTACTGACCATAGTTTTACATACAGATCATCAAAAAAGGGGAAAGCGTTTTCTTGACAGAGCTTTTCAGGGGGTCGGTGAAAAAAAAATAATTGAGGCGAGTGCCCCAGTGGCAAGAAGCTGCACTGCAATCCCAGAGGTGAGGCATTCAAATTTACCAGATACTCTTCTGGAGAAGGAGAGACAATCTTCTCCTGTACCAGTTAGATCCGATTTGATGGAATACACACACACACACACACACACACACACACACACACACACACACACAAAATAATAAATGGGTAATATTCTACTCATAACTAGAACAAGTGTTGGCAATGTGAAGCCTGATCTTACTGCTGTTTCAGGAAAACCCCAGAATACGGAACCGATTACATAGTGTGTTTTGTCAAACTTCTCACTGAGTACTTGGTGACACTGTGCAGTTTTGTATAGATTAAATGGACTTGTTTCATTCCTCTTTAGTTAACTTTTTAACTTCACTGAACCTACATCTCTTAAATACTGTCTTCCCCAATTTCATATGCAAATGACTGTGTTCTATGTTGTTTTGTTTTTTATCTTTGGGTTTGTGCTTTCTAGACCCAAGTTAGAGTTGGCAACATAAATTTAAAAATCTAGTAACAATAAAAGATAATGATGTGATGATTAAATAAGCATATAAGCTGTTGCCACAGTCAAGCCCAGGTATACAATAACCAGGAAACTGAAGAGGGTGGTGCTGACCACAGTACCTATATATATACTTAAGACATTTATATACTAAGTCATATATACTAAAGACATTTGAGGCTGTTTTATTGAGGAAAGCTTACTAGGATTAACAAAGCTAGGCCTCGTTTGCCACCAATAGTTTGTGACTTTGAGCAAGCACTGTTGGTTTAGGTAGGTGTTTCGTTTCAGCTTCTTGCGTTATATCTAATCTTTAGAAGAATTGGAAAGAGGACCCTTTCTATCATCAACGCTGATCTCTAAATTTTATTGCAAAATAGAAAAAGAAAGGGTTGCTGTGAGTAAAGGGTGAACTCCCCCTTCCAAATCTGGTATATATCAGATTTCTCAAGTGATCTAGAAAAGCATGTGGTAGGTCAGCTTGAAAATGCTAATTTAAGTCCCTTACATCATTCTTCAATACAGCATGTCTCATTCACAGGGCTTCAGGCCCCGTGCTGGAAACGGATCACAAGTCAGAAGGCACTCATAAGGTTCCCAGAAAGACACCCTAAACACATAGAATTTCTGAGGTGGGATGCAATGAAATTGAAGACATATTTCTTCCATCTGTGTTTACTACTCAAAGGCATGGCCTGTCCATTAGTGAATGACTTGTCAGACTGCTTCCTAGATTCATCCCCCAAAACACCAGGCAATTTGGAAATGAAACCCATCCCCACTGCACCACTGTAATGTGCTTGGCTAATCTGTGAATTATAAATGCAATTGAGAGGTCACATTTCTTCTATCTCTAAAACAAGTTTTTGGTTAGATTTGTTAGTTTCCAGACTTAGAATCTGGATACCTATTAACATCAGTCTTCCTGCTATCTGATGAAATGATTAGAAATCTAGGAAGTGAGACTGCTAAGATCTATCTGCCTTTGGAAAATCAGAGCTAAAGCAGGAATTTGCCTTGTGCTGCCTCCCACAGGCTTGTCAGAATCTCTCCTGGGATACTAACCTCCTTTCTCCCAAGCTGTAAACAGGGACGTGAGAGTGAGTATTTCCCCAGGTGAAAGTGGAGAACAGACTTTATAATAGCAGCATAGCTTGCTACAAACTAGGCCACCAGACGTCCCTGGAGAACAGATTTGAAAATGTCTAACAATGGATATAATACAACAGTAAATCCAGGATTAAACAAATACTTGGAACCAGCTGACATTAAAGAAAGAAGGTGCAAATTTTAAACTAGTTGGTACTCAAATTCTTAAAGTCCTATCTCAGTATTTTAAAATAAACATTGTAAGCAAACATTAGAGGTATTAGAGTGCATATTTTTATAGTAAAAAAATATAGCAATGAAATAATTGGCTAAATTTTCCATATCAGTTGCCTAAAAAGCCTAAATATAGCTCCTTGTCTGGTGGCACCTCCCTGAACTGTAGCCATGGTGTCATGAAAGAGACTGTTCTCAGACTTCCCCCTTTTCTTTCATAAGCTGCTCCTTAGTAGTAAATCTGAGGAACCTCCTTTTTTAAAAAATAAAAATATTTAAAAACATCCTTTATGATACTAGATGTGAAAAAGAGTTATAAAGAAAAGCTACTACAAATCCATTTGCTTTAAAAAAAAAGACTCAGCAATTTAATTTTTTTTGACCCAGCAGTTTTAAAATCTTCATTTTACACACAAAGCCATTTTCCTGAGTTTGTAGACCCCTGAGGTTTTTAGCCTGAACGTGGTAAAAAAGAATTTCTTGGTTGAAATCTCTTAGCTCTTTTAGTTTGTTGAGTGCTAAATCTTCAGCACCCAGGGAGACCTGGTTTAGTCTGCAGCAAATTGTGCTCCTAACTGCTGCTTCAGAGGTTCAAATCCATTAACACTTCCATGGGCGAAAGATGGGACAATCTCTTCCCACTTACGATTTATAGAATTTATAGCTTCGAAACGTGAAGGAGAATTTGCTCCAATTCAGAACCAACTCACATCCAATAAGTTTGAGTTTGAATCTTCAGCATTTAAAAATGTATCTGGCACATGGTAGGCAAAGATCTTACTGGAAATGTGATTAAATTGATTCACAGCCCCTGTTAATGGATCTGACTCACTGTAGCTTCTGTGTATCAGAGTAGAACTGAACTGCATAGGATTTTCTGTGCTAACAATTGAAAGTATTTTGATCATCAGGCCTTTCTTCCAGGCACCTTTAGGTAGACTAGAACCTCCAACCTTTCAACAGCAATGAGAAAGAGAGAGCTTACAAACTTGCCACACCCTTCATGGTTTTGGAGATCTTTTCACAATAGAGTTCTGGGTTTTTTTTTTCTTCCCAATAGTTATATAGCTTTGTAACAGTAGATAATGTCGTTATGAGACTCTAAAATATTAATCACTTCATTCCATCAGTGTTCAAAATAGATCCCATACTTGAACTAGTGTTTCAGCTCTATTTGCCTATTTAAAATAAATAAATAAACAAACAAAACACCAAAACCCACCCAGCATTCATCTGGGGCTGCTTACTTGTGAAAAATCAAAGCTGACCGCCTTAATTTTGTCTCAGTAATTTTGTCTTAGTGGTAGTTTTAAATGGTATTGTGGTTATCGTTAAGGAGCCCTGATGTGTTGGGCTGCTGGCAAAAGGTGGGTTCAGTTCACGAGACACTCTTCAGGAGAAAGATTAGCAGTCTCTGTAAAGATTTACAGCCTCAAAAATGGGATGATGACGGTTCAGTGGAGGATCATTCTGCGTATGTTTTAGGTTTGATGATTATACTGAGACTTTAATAGGGGTGCTCTGGAGGTTTAATGGTAAGGAATTCCGCTGCCAGCCCAAAGGCACGAGATTCAAATCGACCACCTGTCCCACAGTAAAGATGGGCAGTTTCCTCCTGTGCCATTGTTGTTGTTGTACCATAGAGTTAGAACCGACACATAGCTGATTTTCCAACAGGCGTTCAAAGGCAGTTAATTACACAGGCAAAGATTGCCCATCCTTCTCCCTTGAACCATCTGGTGGATCTGAAATCACATGTCTTTGGGATTGCAGTGCAGTTTCTTACCACTAGACCACCAGAGCTCCTTTCTGTGCCATTGCTGTTGTTATGTGCTGTGGTGTCACCTGCGACCCATAGCAAACCTATGTACAGCCTTTCTGAAGCCGGCCCTGTCCTGAGCCAGTCTCACTGACTCCGACACAGCTACCCCCATTACCCCAGTTACTGTATCAATCCATCTTCTCTGAGGTCCTCTTTTCCTGCTCTATCTGTCCACCTTTCCGAGCATGATGTCCTTCAAGGATTGGTCCCTCCTGGCCATATGCCCAAAGGATGAGAGACAGAGTTTCAAAATCCTAGCCTCCAAGGAGCAACTTGGTTTCACCCTCTCTAAGACAGACCTATTTTGTTTTCTTGGCAGTTCATGGTATGTACCATAACTGCCTCTGAAAACCTGAAGAGTCAGCTGTGAATTGGTAACCCTTCACAATGCACAGTGTTTACTTTGATAGATTAATGGTGCCATCTTGTGAAGTTTTAAGGTATTACTGCAGAAAACTTAAAGCCTGGCCTTCATGTTTGTGTATCATAGACAAGCATTCATACATCTTTCATTCTAATACCAGAGCAGTGGTTCTAGATGGACACAGTCCTTGAATACTTATAATGGATAGGATTAGATTTGATCAAAGATTGTTTGAGATTTTCTACATGCACGCATTTCTGAACCATCCAGCTCTTACTTTACAAAGTGTCACCTTCTTCATTTCTGAGTATTCTGGCTGTCCTTCCAGAATGGATTTGTTCATTCTTCTGACAGTCTGTAGTACAGTCATGTGTTCTTTACCAGCACCGTAATTCGAGGGCATCTTCTGATTTATTGTCTACCTTTCTTACATGTATGTTGTTAAGTGCCATTGAGTCGTAGGCGACTCATAGTGACCCTATGAACGAAAGAGTCCTCGACAGTTGCATGACTTTCATCCTTTCTCCACTTACATGTATAGGCAATTAAAAATTTCTTGGTTTGAATCAGGCATACCTTACTCCACCACAAAGTGACATCTCTGCTTTGCATACATTAAAAAAGGTCTTTTATGGCAGATTTGCCCAATGGAATATTTTATTCAGTCTTGGGTTTAAATAATAGTCATTCTTTGTTGATATTTTGTATCAGTTAGACATAAAAGACTTGGGACAAAGACTCATGAGATACTTGACTGTCTAGGTTTGAGCAAGATCTTAAATAATAGAAATTTTACAGCCTTAGAGAAATATATCTGCTTTTCTGTTAGCTAAACATAGTTTAGTTAAGAGATAATTATTGCCTTGAATCTTTTGTATTATTCCATTGTAATTTAATAGACTCTGCATTTTTTAAAAAATATGAAGTAAAGATAATCCTATAAAGCTATGTGTTATGTGCCGTCAAGTCACCTGCGACTCAGTGATCCTATGTACAACACCCCTAAACCCTGCTCTATCCCTTGCCTATTTTATTGTCTCCAACACAGCTATCCCCATTACCCCAGTGACTGAATCAGTCTGTCTCATTGAGGATCTTCCTCTCCTCCACTGTCCCTCCACCCTCCCAAGCATTATGTCTGTCTCCAAGGACTGATCCCTCCTTGCAACATGTCCAAATTATGTCAGACTAAGCTTCAGAATCCTTGTCTCCAAGGAGCAGCCTGGCTTCACCCTCTCCAGGATGAACTTATTTGTTCTCCGAGTAGTCCATGGTATATTCAATACTCTTCTCCAGCAACACAGCTCAAAGGCATCAACTCTCCTATCATCCCTAGTCATTGTCCAGCTCTCTGATGCATAGCAAGGAATTGCAAAGACCATGACCTGTATCAGGCACAGTCTCCAGACTGACATCGTTACACTTTAGTACTTTGGAGAGGTCTCTGACAGCAGACTTTCCCAGTGCAATTCGTCTTTTAATTTCCTGGCTGCTCATATCAAAAGGGTTGATTATAGAGCCAACCAAATGGAAGCTGTGAACAATCTCAATCTCTTCACCATCTATCATGATGCTGCCAATTGGCCCAGTGGTGAGAATCTTTGTTTTCTTGATGTTGAGCTTCAATCCATATTGAAGGCTACAGTCCTTGACCTTCTACAGCAAGCGCTTTAGGTCCTTCTCAGTTCCAGCAAGCATAACACAGTTTGTTGATGGGTCTACCTCCAATCTTTATGCCCCATGTCTCCTCACAAAGCCCAACCTCCCAGATAATATGTTCTGCATATAGATTGAAAAGATGGAGCTAGGATAATACATCCTTGATGTGATTTTAATTTTAAATTAGGTTTTAAATTTTATAAAGGAGTAATTGCTTTTAGGGAAGACAATTGAAAAGCTAAAGTTTTATCCTTTTGTTAAAAATCATGTTCTGACTGAATATAAAGCTCAGTTTTCATTAAAGAGCCTTTCTCAACTCATTATTTGACTTTAGGTTGTAAATAAGTCACAGTAGAACTGACATTTGAACACATATTCTTTTACCTTCACTGTCAAACTTTGTTTCTGTTTTAGGGGAATTGATAATTTTAGAATTGCCAAATCTGGAGGGTTATGTGGGTACTAGAACAGATAAATTTTCTTTGAGGCTAAAACTAATACATGACAAAGTAATTAGTCATATTTGGGGATTATCTTATAAACTGCCTTTGAAATACTAAAAGAACATTCTCAGTAATTGCAGTATCACCCAGTGAATAACAACATTGACCTTCACAGATAAAATTGAGAGGTGGGTGGGGGAAATCTCTGTCAGACTTGGCTGCAGTGAGCAATTTCTGCTTTGGAAAAAATGGAGAGAAGAAAACAGATGCACCTCCGTGACCATGTTCCTTTTGATTTTTCAGGATGTGTTCCACATGGTAGTTGAAGTACCACGTTGGTCTAATGCAAAAATGGAGGTAATGTTTTTGTCTTATGTTGTACGTAGCATCTCAGTTTTTATATGAATTTGCTGGTCTGCACTGATTTAAATACCTGAACCCCAAGCTTCTCTCTCTTGACCTTATCTAGTTTCCACTTGCAAGTTCTGTTTTATGCCTATCTGCACTGTGCTGCAGCTAAACTCAGTCAGTCATTGATTTAGTCATCCCAGTCACTGATAAGCTTATTAGAATTTCAGTGGTATTTTGTTAATAACGTACTATGGACACCTAACACACTTGTCTTCTTGTTATATTTCTTACGTATTTTACATCTAGTGCTGTTAGGTGCCATTAGGTGACTAAACTCATCGCAGCCCTGTAAACTCAATGCTGTGGATACCATGGAATAAACTCACAAAAATATCTTCATTCTTAAAATCCTCAAGGAAAACTGAAGTTGGATAATATTTATTTTGCTTTTTGAATATTTTTTTTTTACTTATTCCTTTTTTTTAAAAATTTTTTTTTTTATTATTTTTGTGTGCGTGTACCGTCAAATCAGATCTGACTGGTACTGGAGGAGATTGTCCCTCCTTCCCCGGCAGAGCATCTGGTGGATTCGAACCGTGCACCTCTGGGATTGTAGTTGCAGCTCCTTGCCACTAGGCCACCAGAGCTCCCCTTTTTACTTATTCCTAATTTATCAAATGTTAGGATTTATCCAGCTAATTTTCAGTTTTGCTTTGTGGAAATGATAAATATTCTTTTCCCCTTCTTAATACTTCCTGTAGACCTCAAGAGAGCTTTCCATTTAATGGCTCATGATGGGGTAATTTTTACATCATAATCTTTAATTTCTGACTTTAGACTCAAATTATAAAAAGTTAGCAAAATGTGCCATTAAATTGGAATTAAAGGGCATGCATGCTATAATTCACTCCCTCAAGTTCTTATAGGACTTATAGTACACAGCCAAATATGAAATAATTTGCAATATTTTGTTTCAGATTGCTACCAAGGACCCTTTAAACCCAATTAAGCAAGATGTGAAAAAAGGAAAACTTCGTTATGTTGCAAATTTGTTCCCTTATAAAGGATATATCTGGAACTATGGTGCCATTCCTCAGGTAAGCTTCATGCAGTTGCTAGACATGAATTTTTCAGCTTGTATTAGGGTAATTTAGAGATTTAAACACCTTCAGAATGTTTTTGTTACATTTCTTTACAGAGAATGTAGCATAGCAGTTAATGAGCATTGGTATTTTCCACCAACAGAACAGGGTTCAAATCCCAATTCAGCCACTTCCTAGCTTACCTAAGTTCCTTGTTTTCCTTCTCCCTAAGACAGGGGTACTAAAAACACTTAGCTCATGTGGTTTTTAAAGGGATAAAGCACTCAATATATGGCACATGGAAATCCTGATTCCTCTTTTAAGTCAAGTATTCTTTATAATAGAGTAATTATGAGATTGTTTTCCTAGTCCTTTGAGGAAATAGAATCTCTTCCTTGTTTACCAGTTTTCCTCATCAAAAAGCCAGTATGTAGTAGGTTCTTACTTAAAACTAAAGACGATTAGTGTTACCTTTATTATAAGTAAATAAAATTATGGTTCGACTAGGTTAATGTGTGGCACTTAAGATTTTTACATGGACTATTCCATTTAGATTTTCCCTGCTGATTCTAACAAGTTTTTTAATTCAATCTATTAACTGGAATCTACTGAGAAGCAGTATGTTACTAGAACATAGGTCAAACTTATTGAGCTTGCTAGGTAATCACAAAGTCATTTGCATTAATTATCTAGCACTTGAATTTGTGCTTTAATTGATTCAGTATGCCTGGAAATAGCGTCCCTTTGGAGATAAGTTGCTGAAATTTTATTTTTCTGTGGGTTACATTTTGCCTTCTCGGTGTTGGCTTTGTTGCATCCTGATTTCATCCCATTCACTTTGTCTTTTGCCTTTATTCCATCTAGCTGAGTGGACAAAAACAAAACAAGTAATATGTTCTGATTATTAGGAAAGAACCAAAACCACATTTTAAATCCAACTTCCCAGTGTGCAGGCTATTATTTGTGAAGTGCTTTTCAAGAATTCTGCAATTCAAGGATAATTTCAATTTAGCAGGAAAGCAAGCTAACAATGTAATATTCTAGTAAATCCCAATTAAGCTTTTCAGCTGTGATCTCTAGTCAACATGATGGCACTTTTACCATCAAAATATTTAATTTTCATTTTAGTCTTAACTGCCTACCTACTTCTGTTTTGGAAGTTTGTTTTGAAGCAAATCTAGTTAGAAGAATATACACTTAATGCACACCCATGTTTATTGCTTCTTTGTTCACAATAGCAAAGAATTGGAAACAACCCAAGTGCCCATCAACAAACGAATGGATAGATAAGCTGTGGTATATTCACACAGTGGAATATTATGCAGCACTTAAAAAAACAAAATTCATGAAATATATACAGAATGGGTGATCATGGAGGACATTAATGCTGAGTGAAATATCTCAGTCATAAAAAGACAAATACTGTATACTGCCACTGTTACAAAACAGAGGACTGATGGGGAGGTTGGGGGGAAACTAAAAAAAGAGGGGATAAATAATGAACACTGCATTGAAACAGACGAGGGAGAGAACTGTATAAAAGGAACATATAATAGGTATTATTGGCATGACAAGAATCCAAAATAAGAGTTGCGTAGTAAAGTGGTCCAGGGGAAGTGGGGAAGGACTGTATAATATTGAAAGAACCTTTTCCAAAGAAAAAAGCGAACTGGGGGAGGGTGAACAGGGAGGAAAATGTATATCAATGAATGAATGGAAATGTAAAAAAAAA